AGTCAATCATGCATGTCAGCTCTATGTCTATAAGTCATTCTCCCCTCCATTATTGCTGTGCTGTGTGTATAACCGCAGACACATTACTGTTTGTTTCTCCCTCTTTCACGTGCATTCACATGCTGCACCTCTTCGAGCACATTTATGAGAGCTTTACTCACGCCGTTCATCCCCATCGATGAGTCTAAATTTACTGCCTCAATCCCCTAACTAGACAGAGTGTATATCCACATAGATACAACCAGATATGTCGCTGCTGAAGGCCTATACAGCACTCATTCATATCGACTACACTCGCACGGTAACCCATTGTGTGTCCATTTGCATGGATAGCTGTAGATTTATCTGTACTGTAGGCCATAGTGCAGACTTGTGTATGGACGTGTATGGAGATTTACTCCTGTTTTAACCCCAGGGTTAGCCATCAGTATTGATTGAAACAGACTTAGCCTGATTTTAATCCCTGCTTGGCCCAAGACTATCGATCAGGGCGCTGAGCTTTCAAGTGGGTTTAACGACCTACCTGCCCCTCCTCCCGCCCTCTTTTTCTATTTGGGAAGGAAAGGGAGAGGTTTGTTATTACACCCCAAAGCAGAAGTGACGCAAGGTGTTAAGCTTGTACCTACAAGTCCGCAAACCCCTCTTTCAACAAACTCCTGCAATACCAAAATCATTACAGTAGGAAGTGACAGCAAGCTGCCTGTAAAATATGTCTGCACTCATACTTTTCCTATCTGGAGTTTGTGTTGGACATTATAAAGCAGCAGATGAGATGAATCTGTGCACCTCGACAGCAATGTCACGGTAAAAATACCTGCTGGTGAATTATGACCACTCACCTAGAGGTAGGAACGTCCCTTTATGTCTTTATGGGTTCTCTGAAGACAGTTATATGGGACAACATGGGAAGTCGTATAGGAACCCTGGTGCCTTGGGACTTGGGGAGTGTTGTGAATTTATAGTTCTACAGAACGGTCACCACTCTGATTGGTCCGGCACAGTAATGCTAGAAATGGGAAAGCTGAGCTTTTAAAGTATTTGAGTGTGTGCGTATGTGTGTTTTCTTTCCAGTGCTTTGCAGAAATACAAATTTGAGTGCATTTTTGCTTGTGGAAACATTTGTCACTTCGTATATGTGTGTGCATGGTGTGTGTGTGTGTCTGTGTATGTGTGTGTGCGCGTGTGTGTGAGGGATGGTTACTGTGCTTGGCGTTTCTCCTCCATTTGTCCTCCCAGAGGCAGATCAGGCGAAGGGGAAATAAATTGGAGAAAGAGAATAAATCAATGCTAAACTGAGCACCAGTGAGACCTCCTAACCCTGAAACTGTCACACACACACACACACACACACACACACACACACACACACACACACACACACACACACAATGTGTCCAGGGAAAATGTTGTATATGTCCGTATATATCCATAGAAACCTTAACTCACACACACAAGCTAAGAGAAGAGAAAAGGGGGTGGTTAGGTGTGTGTGCTGGTGTGCATTACACAGAATATATACAGTTGTTGGGGACATCCTCACACGCTCCTCAGTTCCTGAGCTTTCTGACACTTCAACTATTTACAGTGCACACACTTCACATATCTTTTGCTCTTAGATGACAGTTCAACTGCTTTCACTACTCATTCTCTCAGTGCTTTCATACAAACTGACAATTCTACTGCCTACAGCGCTTAGACTTGAAATTTAAATTTCAGTCTTTTGCTACACATCAGCTGACACTTTAATATTTATTATACATACATACATATACATATTATACATACATATTTATTATTTATACATCCACTATTATACTTATTTATATTTTTCAACTGACAGCAAATATTCAAACTGATGCTTTAACTATTTACAGTGCACTTAAACTATCTTTGGTGCTTCAAATTAAGCTGAAATTTCAAAGGCTTTCGTCATTTACAGATCTACTGACATTTCAGTTGCTATATTTATTAATGTGTTTATTTAACAATATGTACAATGCACATTAATAAACATCACTGTAAATCTGCTTACTGTTAATATCCAAGAAGCTATTTTTGTACCTGTAGTTCCTGGACGGTTGTCACCTGTTACTCTGGGCAACAGGTGCTTTCACACTTTATCTGACAGTTCAACTGCCTTCACTGATTACTCTTCAAACTGTTGTACAACTATTTTCACTTACAGTTCAATTGCCTACAGCACTTTTACTTGAAACTACAATTTTAACTGCCTCCAGCCTCTGCACATCAGCTGACACTTTAACTATTTAAAGTGCCCTTAGTCAGGCTTAAACTTCAACTAATTTCAACTGGTTTCATCTCTTACTCTTTAAATTACAGTTCAACTACTTTCATCTTTCACATTTCAACTTACAGTTCAATTACTTTGAACTTTCACATTTCAACTTACAGTTCAACTGCTTTCACTGCTGTTTTTAAATGATACATTTCAAATTCTTTCAGCTCTTACACTTCAAAAGAGACCTGAAACCTTTTCAGTGCTTCACCTTCAGCTGCAACTCCCCATTCAACGTGTCAAAAGCAAACAATTACCAATTTAACACATTTTAACCCATTAAGTTATTGCACCTGCAATTGTCCGAATTTTTGCCTTTTCTTGTACATCTTTAGGATTGTCTTGCACAACTCTCTCTCTCTCTCTCTCTCTCTCTCTTTCTCTCTCAAACACACACAGCAGCAAACACACCGCAGTGCTCATCCTATTGGAAGAAATCAATGTATCAGTGTGTGCGGAAACAAGCTGGATGTATTTTCTGACTGCAAAAGACAGAGCACCAAAACAGCATCCTGACATCACTCTGCAGTTTTTACAGACACAATCTGCACTGTACCAAGCTGAGGCTACGCAGCTCACGCGGGCTACAGATGGAGCCGAGCACTGGCGGTTGGGGGGCAGAGGGAGTGTGTAGATTGGGATTATGGGGGTGCATTGGGGAAAGGCTCTTCAGTGTGTTTTCTATTCAACCTAAGTCCTGTAAGACCTCCTCATCTCTTCTGAGAGCAGCAAGCTGAGATCTGATCTAATGCCGAGTGCCACATGCGAGTGTGTTTGTGAGAAACACAACACTTTGATGAGAGCCTGCTGGGGATGTGAGTGTGTATGAGTAATAAACGAGTCCACAGTGTGTGTGTGTGTGTGTGTGTGTGTGTGTGTATGCTTGTGTGCTTACGTTTAGGGGTAATGAAGGAGTCCAGGGTTTATATATTTCTGTGTGTGCGCTCCATGTCTGTGCACTCTCCCTCATCCCTTAAGGGTTGTTTGGGGTATTCTGTGCAGGTTTTGCTCAGGGGGGAGGTGAGTTCTTGGGGTCTTTCATTCAGATGTAATTAGCCCAGACAATGGCCTGGTTAAAGCTGGAATCCTTCGAGCCCCCTCTCGCTTTGATTGTGTGGGCCAGCTGTGGAGGAATGGCCATTATCTCTCTGTGTCCGGCAGCATAAAGAAGCCCCCCTGCCCAAGTTACCCCTGCGTTAGAGTTCCCACAGGGGGAGGGACATGGCCCGGTCACACACTGGCCTGGAGAAAGTGAAAGCAACCAGAATACTGGTTCACTTGCAAACATTCACTCACATAAATGGTTTCACCTCACACTTGAACCACTCTTTCTTAAACTAATGTGGGGAGCGGGTGGCACTATTTACTCAAGAGCTAAAAAGTGGCTTTTCACATCTGGATTTGAAGAGTTCTGGCCTTGAATACAATTTTAGTGCCGCACTTCTACAACTGAGAAAAAACTCACTCTTCAGATGGACATATAAAAAGCCTTTATTCTATAGGTGTATACAACACTTGTGTGTTTGTTTTTGTTCCATCTGTGTGCGTTTCAATCATAAATATGTCATAGAGTTCTGCCTGCGCATAGGGACACTTAGGCCCATTAGACTTGCGAAGAAATTGAATCTTTACAGCACTGGGGCCCTATAATTACTGTTAATTTAACGCTCAGATTCTCCATCATTAACTCCCACTCCTGAATACAGAACGAGGGACATGGAAACACAGACAGTATGTGTGTGGAACCACAGCATGTGTTGACAGCATACCCAACCCTTTGACTGAATTAACAGCGACCTCTTCGTCTTGTAAGAACAGGACTCGCATCGTTTATGCGTTATTAAGTCCTGTAATTGGGCAGCCAGTAGTTTGCATATTAGTCTATTAGGATAATATGTTTTGCCTCTCTCAACACACGACTTGCCAGAGCCCCTGGCGACACATTTGGTAATTCTCAGAATTACACCCTAATCATAAACCAGTGTTCTTTCGATCCCTATAATTCAATGTGTGTCAGTTTATGTCTGCGCATCCTTAGCTTGATTAGATTCAAAGTATTTATCAATTAGCCAATCACTTCCTATGTAGAATTTTATTGTGCTGTGGTCTTTAATCAACAATATAAGGGAAATGTTATCGTCTTTGTGTGAGTATAGCTAAGACTTTAAATTAGCAAAATATGTACACATATATTTTCACTGGTGGCCATGATGTTGCAGGGCACCTCTGTTTGAAGGTGAAACTTGCATATTTTTTGTCCTTTGAGGTTCCTTTAACCTCTTATTAGCTGTTATGTTTTACAGCCGGTGTCCCACTTTGAGCCAATAAAATCACATCTCCTAAATACCAGTAGTTGCCAAAGTAGGTCCAGGGACCCCCCAGGGGTCTAAAAGGGTTTCAGGGGGGGCTCAGCAGAATGAGGATTAGTTTAATTTCAATATCGTTCATTCATTTAGAGATAGGACTGGCAGATAGTGCAAAATTAGTGCTTTGATGAATTTTCACTAAACTACTTATTTTCTTACCAACAGTGCCAAAAGATGACAAAACTGTCCTATCAGATGAGAGATGGAAGAAGAATTCAAATCCATAACTTAAGTTGAAGTAGTAATAATGTAAAAATCCTGCATTCAAAAAAGTAGTATAAATATTAAAGATAAAATACTTATGATGCAGAATGCACTGTTTGAGAGTGAAAAGTATATTTTGCTGTATTATTATTTAGCAGCAGCGTTTTTAATAATCCTCATATAACTACTGACAATTCAAGGTTTCTTTTTTTGGGGGGGGGGCAAGCCTCGCCTCGCGTGCCGCTGTGTGTGCATCCATCTCAAAGTTTACCCAACAAGCAGGTGTGAGGGTGCACGGTGGGCGCAGAGCTGGCTGAAGGATGTATTCTTGCAGCCTCCTCTCTTTGGCCCCGAGCTGCCCTCTCCGCGCGCCCCCCATTATTTGTCCCGACGGCCGAGCGCGCGGCCCCAATGAGCCCTTTGGAACGGAACGAAAAGAAGGAGCGAATTGCAGCTGTGACGTGGGCGTTGTTCCATTCACCGCGTTCGCCATGGCAACGGGGCAGAGGCCCTGGAAGCACGCAGCCCCTCTCTCTGGACAGCGTCCTGAGGGCAGAGAGGCAGCTGGAAGTTTCTCCTCATGATCACTGCTCACTGTTTCATGGCGCAAAAAATGTCCCAAATATTCTGCTTCAAATGCACACAAAATTTGGATTCAGGTTTCAGGTTTGGCAGTTTCCAGGATTTGGGTGCTAAAAGTTATAATTTGGAGCGCACATGTGGCCACTTACATCAATTAATGTGTGAATTCGGTGTGTCTTTTTCTAACTTTTTTACGCACCGTTTTTGACGCACGAAAGAAATAAATGTGACCCACTGACCCAGATCAATGTTAATAAAGTACTTCCAGCATAGAGGAAAATGTTTTTTTTTTCCTTGTAGCTCAGCTTGTTCAGTCTTTTCTGTGTTTACACTCCGCAGCCCGATTTCTCCCTCCACTTTGTACTCTAGCATGCTGCAGGACTGCTAGTATTGTTGGGCAGAGTGATTGGGGTTTCTGTACAATCTCCCGTGACCAATGAGCGGGGTGCTGTCAGGGGTAACCACATCTGTCAACCGTTCTTGGCCAATAAAGAGCGGAGCGAGGCGGACCACAGGTGCGCGCCTCTGCGTCCCCTTGGCACAGCGCCCGGGAGATGCTGGAGAGAGACGCCTAGCTGCCCCGTGGCGCAAAAGAGTTACTGTCAAAGGCAGCCTCCTTTTAACTCCAGCTATCACTCTGGCTCCGATAGTTATGGCGACCGCAACGTCCAACCACTACAGCGTCCTCACCACCCCCAGCAGCGCGCCGCCGCCGCACTCGGAGTCCGGGAGCATGCAGCAGGCGGCAGCGTACAGGGACGCGCACACCCTGCTCCAGAACGACTATAGCACGTTACCGGGCGGTGGACATCCGCTCAGCCACGCGCACCAGTGGATAACGGCGCTGTCTCACGGTGACGGCGGGGCGCCCTGGCCATCTAGTCCCCTCGGAGAACAGGACGTGAAGCCCGTACTGCACGACAGTGACCGAGAGGAGCTGCAGAACTCCAGCAGTCTGCAGCAGCAACAGCAGCAGCAGCAACAGCGACACCCTCACCTAGCGCACCAGCAGGCGCATCACGACGCCAGAGCATGGCGAACCAGCACAGCCACCACGCACATCCCCGGTATGGCGACATCTGAGGGCCAGAGCCTGGTGTATTCCCAGTCCGGCTTCGGTCTGATGCCGGGGGGAGAGCAAGGGGGGATGCACCACCACCCCCTGCGGGACGAGGACCACCACAGCCACAGCCCGCACCTCAGTGAACATGGAGGCGGCCCTGGGGCCCACCAGCAGTCTCTCTCACACCATCACCAGCACGGGGGCCATCAGGACCAGTCAGACGAGGACACGCCGACCTCCGACGAGTTGGAGCAGTTTGCCAAGCAGTTCAAACAGCGACGTATCAAGCTGGGCTTCACCCAGGCGGACGTGGGACTGGCTCTTGGGACGCTGTACGGAAACGTCTTTTCTCAGACCACCATTTGCAGGTTCGAGGCGCTTCAACTCAGCTTCAAAAACATGTGTAAACTCAAGCCCTTGTTGAACAAGTGGCTGGAGGAGGCGGACTCCACCTCGGGGAGCCCCACTAGCCTGGATAAAATCGCGGCACAGGGAAGGAAAAGGAAAAAGAGGACCTCCATCGAGGTGGGCGTCAAAGGGGCTCTGGAGAGCCATTTTCTCAAATGTCCAAAACCAGGAGCAGCGGAGATCAACTCCCTAGCGGACAGCCTGCAGCTGGAGAAGGAGGTGGTGAGGGTTTGGTTTTGTAACAGGCGGCAGAAGGAGAAGAGGATGACACCCGCTGGGGGACAGATACCAGGAGGAGAGGACATGTACGGGGACACCCCTCCACATCACGGAGGACAAACTCCTGTTCAGTGACCCCCAGTCCGTTATTCTGAGCAGAACACGGACCCCTTACGGAGGAATAATGCCTCCTTATTTGTTTGATTCTCTGTGCCGGACCGCTCGGAACTGGACCTTAGCCAGTTTAAATGTCGGACCCACGGACACACAGTGGGGATATACAGTGGCACTCAAGCACTAAAAATACGCATAGTAGAGAGCTGTATGGAGAGGTTTCATGCCGCGGAACTGCCAAGCAGATTGGGATACAGCCGGTGTGTGCTAACCAAAAAAAAAAAAAAAAAAAGAAAAAACAGCGACATTGATACAAAACGCTTTTACCTTCTACCGAGGCGCCGATATGTCATTATGTAATGTGTCATTAAAGAAAGGCGAGAGTGTGAGGTGGACACGAGGTGTCCGCAAGGGGGGAAAAATATAAAAACAAGCTTGGGGCTCGATGATAAGTCGCAGTCAGTGTGGGTAAATAAACGCCATCTTTCCATCATAACAAAAGCAACAGGGGTTCTTCACAGCTTGTGGCAAGAGAGGGCTGAAATGGCAGACACCTGCTGTACAACGTTAAAAATGAAAGCCAATACCAGCCAACTGCTTTCATTATTATTATTATTATTATTATTATTATTATTATTATTATTATACAATTCTGGTGTTTTGTATACATTTCATGTAAGGTATTGATTATAGTGTCAGCTGCATCCACATTTAATTTAAATTAAAAAAAATAATAATTCTAACTTACAGAATTTAGTTTATAATGGACAGCGAAATAATAATAATAATAATAATAATAATAATAATAATAATAATAATGTCACATAAAGTAGACTGAGTATTGGTTCACTTTAATGCTTTTCTTTCTGTGCAGACATTTCTGTGCGCCTGTTTACAGTGTGTTTTTGCTGTTTGTTATTTCTGTACTTTTCCAAAATGCTGTGACGAGAAAGACCGAGACTGTCCGGCTGGAACACTCAAAGCAATCCAGCCCATTTTTGCCTTCCTTTCCTAAGAAGAAAAAAACAACAACAGAAAAACTGAATATATCCTGGTACCAGCTCTGGCCGCAGTGGCTCTACTTCTACTGTATGACTCATTCACTGAGAAGACTATTTGTGGGATGTATCTCGATTCGTTTTTTTTGTATGGCTTCGTTTGTTTGTATGTTTGTTTTGTTTGTTCCGTTCTCTCTGTCAGTCTGTGCCAAAGCACAAACACAGACACGTGTTCTTGTGCCACTTAAATCCTGTGATTAATAACCTGATCTGATGATGGAAGGTTATTGAGGGAAATCCACGACTAGTTGGAGATTCATTCTCTGACTAAAATCCAGAGGAAAATATAGAAATTCAGAAACTCAAATCCAAGTGAAGGATGTAGATGTATGGAGGGGAAATATAATATTTAAATAGACCCATAATGTGAATTTTGGGCAATTTTTTATGAGACGTTTTACATTTCAAAAACTTTCTGAACGTATTAGGCCCAGTTAACAATGTCAAAGTAGCACTATAATGAAAAGCTGCACTCCCTTTTCAAATCCCTTCATCAGTCTTTAAAAAAGAAGCATAACAATGTTTATGCTATGTTTTGTAATAAGGTATATTTAAGGGTATATTACACAATAATTCCTCCTTAATTTAAATAAGGCCCACATTTTATACTTTAATTCTGACTGAGTAATCCTTCATCTGGAATTTGAGTTTTTGAGGTGGGAAAAAAAGAAAAATCAACCAAACCAAAACAAAATAGCATTGACCTGAAATCTGTGATCAAACGAAGAGGGAAAAGAAATCAACGATTGCACAATTTCTATATGCTTTTTGTCATTAAATCGTATTTGTTTTCTATAACACTGCAGTCTCTGCACGTTATTCAGCTTAAGGAGAAAGTCGCAACTCTGGCAACAAGCTTCTCTTCCTTTCTCCCTTCCTGTACGCGGCCTTGCATTATAATTATGGATTTTATCAATCCGTCTCGGTTGCTTAAAATTGTCCTTCAGCTGTTTCGGTGAAGTGTTTACTACCGCTGATCTGCACTGATATGGTTGTGTCGAG